TTGCTGTTTACCACTATGCACTGCATGTTGTTTATCCATGTGACCGGAGATGACTGCGCTCTACTCGGAGACTCACGACGAAAAACGCTCCATCTGCCTATAGCTCGCGCTTGTTTTCATCTACTACTCACTGTGTGTCTGTCATAGTTGGCCGTTGGTTTTCAGGGCGCTTGCTTAGTTTGGTATGGACTGGCTGCCGAATGTCATCCTTTCCTTCCTTTCTAAATTATAATTTTCATTTCGGTAGTCCAACAGCTGATCACTGGACTCACCTGTGAGAAAAAGTTTTCGACCACTTAAAAGAAGGCAAATGCCGCAGAACGAAATTCTAGCTGATCAATCATCACACACCCCTCAAGCAGAGCTTTTTTTGCTTTTTTGTTTCAAAACAAAGATTTGCTCAAATCTTTTGCACTGTCATTCGTTTCTCCGCCCCTTCCCCCTCCCCTAAGGCTAATAAAGTATTTTTGGGATTCATCAATAGATTTCGCGGAAAACCCCCCACTCCAGGATTGTTTACGAGGTTGCCAGACCTCTAAAGGCCCATATGAGCTTGTTTTTGCCATGGTCTCGTCTGATGCTCAAACATCACATCAGCGAGGACTGAACATCAAAGTGCAGTCGCGTGGCAATTTCCAGCTAGGCTCAGAGTGTTCATTCACTATCCCTTCTTCATGCGATCGGTATGTTCTCTAAAGCTCAAGAGAATGGCAGTCTGCACATTTCTATCATAGACCGGCGGCGGTTACCGTACCAGTTTCACTGAGTGTTAGCGTTTCCCTTTCGTGATGTACAAGTTGTCCTGAAAACCTGGTGGAAAGTCTCCTCATCATCCCTCCGTCTCCTAACAGCAATTCCAAGACGAAGAGTCAGAATTAACCATTTTTTCATCCACTCATTTACGTGAAGGTTTTTGGCATATTTATGTTTAGAAGAGGAAATGTAGAAATGATTTTGCACATAGGAGCTCAAACTATTGAAAAATCATACGAAAAACGAAGATTTTATCAAAACTATTTTGAGCTAAAAATGCTTCTCATTGTACTTCACAATTCGTAAAATTTCTCATATTCTATTTTTTTCATGAAGTTCGTTTTGTTTTGTAGATTT